AGTTAGTTAGTTAGTTAGTTAGTTAGTTAGTTAGTTAGTTGGTTGGTTGGTTGGTTGATTGGTTAGTTGGTTGGTTGGTTGGTTGATTGGTTAGTTGGTTGGTTATTTGGTTGGTTGCTTGGTTGGTTGAAACTCTAGACTGAAGTTTGTTGTCTTTGTTTGAGGCAGGAGGGGTCTGTAAGTTTAAAATAAATCCTATGTATGACAGAAATCTGAGCTTTAATCCCCAGACTTGGACTTGGACTTGGAAAAATCTGCGCCTTTTTTCTCAAAAATTTAAATAATAATGATCTACAAACAAAAACTAAACAAAAACAACCTCAAATCCTTGTTGAACATCATTCCGTATGAATACACATTATATTTTTTCTTATTTCTTTAACAAAGTGACTTTTATCATTCTCTTAAACATAAATATTGATCTGGTATTTTTGACCTCCCTCTCCAGATTGTTCCACAGTCTTATTCCTTGTACCGAAGTACATCGCTCCTTCAAACTATTTCCAAATCCAGGTTTCACACACATCTCCACCCCTTTCAGATTATAACAACTTCCTCTCTTTACAAAATTAAATTGGTTGTTTAAAGGTAACACACATTTATGAGCCTTAAACATAACCTGTAAAATATTTAAATCAACCAACTCATAGAACTTCAATAATTTCAACTGATAAAATAATAAATTTGATGGGTGACTGTAGTGTTTTATAGTGATCATTCTTACAGCTCTTTTCTGTAAAAACAAAAATAGGGTTTATAATTGTTTTTCATGCTTTCCCCCAAACTTCAACGCAATAAATCAAGTGTGTAACAACCATTACATTATACAACATATCATTATCATCTAATAACTGCCTTACTTTGTGCAGTACTCCAATACAGCTAATAATTTATGTGAGGCCTCCATGTCAGATTTTCATCCATGATGACACCAGAAACTTCACCTCACTGATTCTACACACCTCATAATTTCATAACTCTGAGTGGAAGATYTCAATCACTTCAAATCTGACTTTTTCATTTTGCATCAAATCTTTAAATCAGGTGCCACTGATGGCCTCAGGGTTCATTATGTTCTGCTGCAGGTTCCTCTGAGTTCTGGCTCAGTTGTGTGAACTGATCCRGTGTAAAAGGAGGTCGAGGAGCAGTTGTGTCAGGTTTTACTTTCAGATAAATCCTCAGTGATCTCCTCCAGGTCCGCTGCGTTCTCCTCCCTGACCAGCTGACTTGTTTCAGACTCAGAGGAACCCTCTGCCTTCTGATTGGTCGCTGCCTGCTTTCCCTGCCCCGCCCCCGGACTCCACGACCACCCCGACCACGCTGCCGTGGTCCAGGCCCAGAGGAGAGTCCGGCTGTGGGGGGGTGGGCGACACAGGGGCGGAGTCTCTGGTCTGTGGAGCCTGGCCAGATTCTGGACTTCCATCCACTTCCTGTACGATGACGTTTCTCAGCTTCCTCTGCCGCGGGCTGTAGTTCTCTGTGCGCTTGTGGATGAGGAGGTGTCGCTGCAGGTGAGCCTGGAGGAGGAGCAGGAGGAGCAGGAGGAGGAGGAGGAGGGGGACATTATTAATGACTTCACTTTATTCATTTCATTTGTAACACAGATGAACAAATTACAAAAAACTTACAATCAAAATGAAATCAAATAAAATGAAAGGCAGCAGAAGAATAAATCTTATATCTGCCCCTTTTTATAC